TCAAAATTAACTGAAAGCAATCAGCCATTTTTAGTGTGATCTTACCTAAGCTATCCACCAAACAATTGAACCATTATTGATCAGATTAGTTGCAATCAGTTACTACGGACAGTGACTTAACTAACCGAGTGACCAACAGAGGTCGCTATATTACTGTCTTAGCGGTGAATATCAAACGTATAAAAGGTTTTATCAGAACAAGGAGGAACGTACTTTTCTATTGATATTGAGTTTTTCCAATTTTTTCACTTCTTTTTTTTAAGTAACAATCCTAATGCCGACTCTGCTCTAAAGAACGTTTCTCAAGAAGTGCATCTTAAGCGAAGACAGTGCTACTTTAAGAGAAGTTATTTCAAAATAACTAACGGGGAAGTTTGAAAATTTTTGAAAAAAATTGAAAAATCTTTGAAATTTTAAAGTTTGAAATGTCTAAAAAAAAACATTATTTTTTTTAAAAAAAGTTTGAAATTTTAAAATAATTTTGGTTAATTTTGAGTGTGATCTGACCTAAGCTATCCACCAAACTCAGTTTACATTAAAAAATTTCCAGACTACTTACGTTTATATGTAGTTGTACATGCTCCATTCGAATCTGGTAAATTTCATAAAATCCACTGTTTTGGAGTTATCGACAGTAAAATTTCTGATTCATTCGCGTCGTTGGTGGCAGCCATTACTGTCTTTGTTTGCATACATTTGCTGCGGAAAGCTAAGCGCGAAAGACTACGGAAATTTAAGCACGGAACTGATCTTTTTTGTCTAAATTTGTCTCAGTTACTGCGCACAAGAACTATTTACGTAGACACGCTCAGTTTGCGCAATGATACTTACACTGATAGCTATTCTGCAGCGAATGTAGGCAAACAACGCCAGTAATGAATCCGAACTTTTACTGTTGATAACTCCAAAAACTCCAGAATTTTTCAGAATTCTCTCGTAAAACTACTTAAATTATTAAATATTGATATGAGTTAATTATATACATAATTTCGTCTGTAAAATAGGACAGAGTGTTATTAGGAATGTATAACGGCATTTTACGTGATGCCTGTCCCTCCCATGCAGAACAATCTCCTCAAAAATGAAATAGAGACTCCATGCAACAGTAATTTGGTTCTACAAAAGGATCCTGATGACACCACTGACGGAACACGATGTTTTAAAAAAAATGGAAGCAAAAAGGAAATTTATACTTAACATCAGGAAAAAGGGTAGAAATTGCTGAGGAAAATAATGAGGAAAGAAGGCTTTTAAAATATGACACCCAAAGGACATATGGAACTCAAGAGAGACAGAGGAATGAACACCATAAACCACCTAGTGAGCTTGAGTAAATGGATGTTAGGACGGGTTTTAAAAGAAATAACAATAAGACAAAATGTATTAGGAGCTACAAAGGACTGGAAATTGTGAAGAGCCATAATCCCCAACGTCCTAAAGGGACACGACACATAAAGAATAAGTTTTAGTGTGTCCGGATGTCCCTTACTGAGATCTTTTTGTCAACGCTACGGTGGAGTAATGGATAGCGGCTCGGATTGAGAAATCGAAGAGCTGAGTTCGAATTCTAGTCAACTCCATTACATTCACTAACGTGCTAATACCATTGAGAAAGGTATGAATACTCTTCTTCTAAACCAAGCTTCACCCTCAAGTTGCGGCATGATAAACTGGGTTCTGTAGACTTGGATAGCAACTGGTCTACCGCAGAAAGAAATGGCAACCTAATGCGGGAAAAATCTCCCCCGACAGTTATGTATCAACAGATACATAATCACTAAATTCGTATGTAACGCATGGTACATAACTGACTGATTATCCAAGATAATATATGATTTCCTTTCTGTTCTTTTGTTTCCACAAACGCAATTAATGGTTTCTACAAAAGTTGCTTGATTCTTAGCAGATGCGAGGCATTTTCTTTCTTCTGCCATCAATGTTAACCATTTTTATTTTGTCTTTCTTTTTGTCTTTAAACTTCGGCATTCGAAGTTGAAGTCTGTTTGGAGCGATGCCGTGGTGATTACAGCTAATGGGAGGATCAATAATATATGCCTAGTCTGCGTCAATCCACTCAGATATTCGAATTAAAGTGGTCGTAATTCGGATACAGGAATCGTAATACGTGCTTTACTTGGGTACTAATGTCTCTAGTGTAAGCAATAGTCTTATTGGCTCTGTCAATATATATTCTCGAGTTTTTGTTTTGGGCCTTTTTTTTTTTCATTTTTGATTCATACGGGTTTAAATGTCAAGTGTAGGTAATACTTGAATTTTTCTGAATCTTTTGTTGGTTTGTCCTCTCGGGTGTATCATGTCTCTCACTATCCCTCTCCTCCATATATATATATATATATATATATATATATATATATATATAATGAGATAACGATATATATTTTTATATATGAAGAACAATATTGGGAAAGATGTATGACAAAGTTTTCTTGTGATGTCTTAAAGAAAGAAACAGGTCGCAAGAAAACTTTTTTCCGCGTTTTCATTCATATATATATATATATATATATATATATATATATATATATATATATATATATTAAAATAATGAGAAAGAACAGTAAGATTTATAATCCGGTGTTCTTATTAATTATTTTTATTTTTAAAATAACAGTGCCCAGTACAATTCTCCAGAGCATAAATATTATAAATTTACTAATTTTAAAAAAATACAAAATTGCTTGAAAATGAAACAGTAATAATAAATATTTTAACTTAATTCTAAATTTAAATTTAAAGTTTTAGTTTCTGTTTTTGAAACATGATAATTCCCACGTAGCGATGGGGACATATTTTAAATTAGTAAATTTATAATATAATATATATATATATATATATATATATATATATATATATATATATATATTATACCCTATTACATTGGAACATGTAAGTTACTACTACAACAGCGAAATATCGAAATTAACTTTAACCATGTTCGTAGTTTAGATTAATAGCAAAAGTATTCAACCTTACCAGTAGGAAACTATCCAAACGTAAAAGAACGAAGAATAAATTTCAAAACGTTCAAAACACTAATTTAAAACAGGACTCAATACAAGAGTACACCATTAAATAAATTGTAGTAGTAACTTACATGTCCTAATGTAACAGTGTATAATGAATATTTATTGCTCTACTCTTGTATTGAGCCCTGTTTTAAATTAATATTTTCACGTTTTGAATTTTATTCTTCGTTCTTTAAATTATATATATATATATATATATATATATATATATATATATATATATATATATTGTGTGTGTATTTAAGCAGCATTTTTTCATTGATGCATGTTTCATTAAATAATATAGACAAGTTTTGTCTATTTATTTTATGTAAATTCCTTTCATATTGTCTGATAAGCTTAATAACATTATCATTAAAAGATCAAAGAAAAACACCATATTGATACATGTTTTTTTAATCCTATCCAAGCTTTTGGCTTACATAAGCCATTATCAAAGATGACAATTACATTTCAATATATTAAACAATACACGGACAAAACAATAATGATAGTCTGTTTTTGTTGCATGAAAGATTTCCAAGCAACAACAAACTCGTGTATACGAGACGCGAAAGTGAAAATCGCACTGCAGCACGTGACGTCCTCGTTGAAAACACAACTATACTTAAACATGAATACAATAAACAAAAACTAAAAATTCTTGAAGCTATATACATAAAACAGTTGAAACCTAACCTGAACAAAATAAACTATAAAATCTCCACAAATACTCTTAAATGCCTATAATTGGCAACAGAAGCTATTGGTTTATACCAACAGCTTCCCATACTTAACCTTTCTCTTTTTCCCTCTCGCGTGGTCATGTGTGACGTAAGACGAAAGCTTGGATAGGATTAAAAAACGTATCAATTTGTTTTTTTTTTCTTTCGTCTTTCAATGATAATGTTATTGAGCTTATCAGACAATACTTGTCTATATTATTTAATGAAACATGCATCAATTTATATATATATATATCTTCATAGTGTTCATTTTTTTAACTAGGACACCTTTCGGGCAACACTTCTTTAGGAACCAACTTTAGCAAAATTACTATATCAAAATTGTTATGAATAGATAAGCAATATGAAGGAAGATTTATAGTGCATCTAAAATATATCTTTTAACGATTAAAATATACATAAATTCAAAAGTTGTAAATACTCCAGCGTGAGTGTAAAATCTTCTAAGAGAGAGCAACGAGGTCAGGCATATTGTGCCATTGTGGATCAACGCGCCGTAGGGCGCTTTTTGTGGGTAGAAGGAATCAAAACGGTGGAAATCCATCGCCGGATGTTGGCGCAGTATGGAGCACGCACCATGTGTGAGTGGGTAGAACGTTTTAAATCGGAAAGAACAAGTTTATTGGATGAAACCCACCAACAACGCTCACATATCCAAAGGCTGGATACCTTGATCTGGGAAGACTAACGAATCACGCAAGGGCTGGCAATTATGGGCCTCTCTTCTGGATCTGTACATGATGACTTCGGGTAGCAAAATGTTTATACGCCTTGTAGACGTTTTAAGACATATTAGATATGCGTCCTCCGACAGGAACTGTGTTTAAAAAAAAGTAAAATTTATTTAAATATTTGTATCTATAAAAAGAACGTATGAACATAAAAAATGTCTTAAATAATTGTCGGACTTTTCATAATATATGACGTCATTTGTTTACATTTGGATATTTATTGAGCCGATATGAATGAACAAGAGAAAATCATAGGGAATTGTGTTTAAAAACAGTAAAATCGACCTTGCTAACCGAACGCTCCTCTGTGGCCCAATTTGTTAAGGCACATCAGGCTATATGACGGTTCCATATAAGATACAGGTACGATTCCTGTCGGAGAAAGCATATTTTCTAGGAAAATTTCTCGGACATTCAGGTCGGTAAATGTTGTTAATACTGTTTATTATAAACAGAGCATTTACTACTAATAATACATGGCATTTACGTGGTGTACCCTAATAGATAGATAGATAGATAGATAGATTGTGGCATTGTGTGAGTGAAGAAGAAGAGTGATTGAAGAGAAAGTTCAAATGATTTCGAAGTGCATTATTGATCATAATGAAAATTTGATACCACAAATAAGAAGACCACATGGCTGGCTTGTAAATGATTTGACATTTTTGTTTCCTCTCGAAGACGCACATTGTGAACGCAAACCAATCGCCTGCTGTTCTTTCAGGTGAACGGAAACTGAAACATTTTTCTTGTGTAGGCGGAGGAGGCGGAGAATTTGTAAATCAAAAGACAAGGCAGCAAATCAAATTTCGAAATGATATTCCTGGGTCAGATTGCAAAAGCCTGGGTGCCTTTCGGATGGTGACTCTAAACAGATGGATAATAAAAAGGAAAACAATGAAGACAGACTCCCGGCCGATATGGAGACAATAATAGTAGAAAAAATGGCGGTGCATATTTCATTGCGCATGCGTCGTAGTCATTCTGTGTATGGGTTCCATATATGATATGTGGCTAGTGTAAGCATTGCCAGCTTTACAAAGAGAATATATATATATTATATATATATATATATATATATATGTGTGTGTGTGTGTGTGTGTGTGTGTGTGTGTGTGTGTGTGTGTGTGTAAATATATAGAAAAATAGGAAAGAACACGTTAGGTAAATAATCCGAAGTCCTTTAGTATTTTTGTTTTTATTTTTTAAAAAACAGTGCTCAATGCAAAAGTAGAGCCTAAATTATAACTATGTTTTTTTAAAAAATGTGATTCCTCCCCTATATAAGAGTTTTCACATTTCAAAAAAGGAGCCAAAAATTTCAATATAATTATTAAAATTAAATTGAATTAAAGTATCAAGCTGTTTCATCATCAAGCGAAATTTTTGGAATAACTAATCTTGAAATTTACGCAACTTTATAAGCATATTCATTCGTAAAACTCTTATGTAGCGAAGGAATCATATTTTAAATATATATATATATATATATATATATATATATATATATAAAGGACTTATTGTCTTATATTATTTCTTATTAATATAAACGTTATTTTTAGTGTGTGCCCGTGGTATTTCAGTTATTCCCCATGTTATTTTGTTTTATTTTGTTGTTTTTGTTAAACATTAAAATTAAACAATTGGTCTAAATTGAGAAGACCTACTAAAGAAAAATTCAACCACCGACAGGAATCGAACCTGCATCTCTTCTTTTACCTCAAGGAAATCACTTCTTAAACCAAATTGCGCATCTACAAGTTCGGTCACGAAACCTGAATGACCGGGTAAAATCAGAATAACTTCTTAAAGTAGACATCAATAAAGTGCATTGCAAAGGAAGAAGACTTTGTTGATAATTTTAAAAAATGTGTAAAATAAACATTTTTTTTTAATTTTTTATCATTATTGGGGTAAGGATTTTTTTTCATTATTGGGTTAAAGAATTTTTTATCATAATTGAGCTAAGGAGTTTTTATCATTATTAGACGACAGAATTATTGATTCATCTACATAAATTGATACAAAGAAAGGCAAGAAAGATGAACTACAGCTAACGTTATAAATACTTTGATAAAATTTGCCTCTATAAAGAATAATAATAGATAGAACAAGTTATGATTATCATAGTACGTGAACAGAAATTAAGCTGGAGTGGATTTTTTTCTTCTTATATATGCCCTGTCCCTTCAGGACGAGATAATCAAGGCTCACCACAACCTCCTATCAATTGTGGCCCTTAGCAGCGTCTATCCATTTGCCAAGCTCACTACCTCCCTTCGATCCACTCTCCATTCACATAAGTTTGTCAGTTAGGGGTGGCCCGATGCCTTTCCCTAGCTCTCTTGCCTTGTGACAGTTTTTCAAGTTTTCCTTCCACATTATTTTACCAAGAAATTTCAGCTGTCTCTTTCTGAGTATAAATGTTCTTTTTGTTAGCATTTTCTTACTAGCTCCGTCCATGGAATTCTCAGTATCCTTCTGTAGAACCACATTTCTGTTGCCTCGAGTTTCCTCTTCAGATGCATCGATATTACATAACAATTCAACCATCATTTCTTTATTTCTAACTGTTGTGGTAGGATCCACCTAATTTTCATAGTGGAGTACCGACCATATAAATATGGTTGGTACCGGGAAGAGAGGGAGGAATCAAGAGATTCACTCTCAGTCGAACTCTCTGCATTTTGCAGTGAGGGACCCGAACGAGGCTTTGCCAAGAGGAAGGGTTTCGTCCGGGGTGGTAGACAGGCCTTTCTGAACCCGCCTAGACGGGTTCAGAAAGGCCATATTTTTAGGAACGGTCTTACCAGGAATATACAAAAGACTATATGTAAATATTGTGTACACTTTCTTGTTTCAATACATTTTGTTCTAAGTACATTTTGTGTTGCATTATTATTCCATGCATTAGTCAAGTTTCGACACTAACGAACCTTTCTTGTTCGTTAGGACTTTGTTTAGCGATTGGGGCGCATTTTTCGCTACTGCAATGTATGTTCGGATTATGATGTCACATTTTCAATCCGCTGTTAAAATACTTCCCAAATTAACTGACAAGTATAGTCCGAAATTTTATTATCAGTTTTTTTCGCAAAAATAGGGGCTTGCACTATACAGAGGGGTTAAATTTTTTCGGAGACCGTTTGCACTATACACAGCTAATTTTTTGACCGTAACTTATCTGGTAGGCCTACATTCTCACAGTACCTCTGTCTAACTGGTACAGGTAAGCTCTTTTAGCCTGCTTCCTGTAGTCTAAGCATGAAAAAAAGTACGGTATCTAAATCTTTGTATTAAATATTTTGCGCTAAGTGGATTTTCTCACCATTTTCAGGTTTTCAAAAAAAAAAGGAAGACCATTTATTTACTAAATTATTTCCAGGAAAAAAAATGATAAATTATAATTGCTCAGAAGCTGTTGCATTATAAACGAGAAAAAAAAAAAGTTTTACATAAAAAAAATTCAAGAATCGCACTATACATGAAGTAGTCTTATACAAGAGTATATAGGGTGTTAAATAGGATAATTTCTTTAGGAATAAAGAAAAGAGTGTAGAACTGATATGCAATATCAATCATAGTATATAGCAGTGAATGCTAGACAATTTCATTACAGATGAAAATAAGATTGGAGGCAATAGAATATAGTTCCACAGAAAGATGCTAATAGTGCAATGGAGGTAGCGCGTAAGCGACAATAAAGTAAAATGGAAACAAAATGCACGTTTATATTTGGAATCAGAAAAGGATATCTGGAATTTTCGCAAAACGTAATGAGGGCTTGGTGAATTTGATACTCACAGGACATATCGAAGGCAAAAGGCATAGAGGAAGGGAGTGAGTCACGTACCTAAGAAGCTTGGATGTCTAAACAGGGGTGGGAGAGAGGGTAAATAGAGAAACATAGTAAGGAAGCTATGGAGAGCTAGTTCGGTACTGGACCGACACGGAACATAGACTAAGAGGATTTGATGTATTTGGTATTCTATTTGCAGCTAATCATTAATATTTTTATGTTCAGCTTTTTACGCAAATAATAAAGGATCGTACTATACACAGGTAATATTTTAAAAGATATTAAAAATCATGCGTTTACCACCAGTTATACACAGTTAATCCTTTCTGGAGGGGTTAAAATTCATGCATTTTCACTGGCCATAACCTACCAGGTATGTTTATAGAGTCTTGGTGCCTTTGACGAAAAGGTTACCATTGGAAAGGCAATACCTCAGAAATGTAAATACTTGCAACATGAAGATGAAGGCAAATTTGAGAGAGGAAAAATCTATCAATTCTTCATTTATATAAGGTATTTGTTGATTTTAAGTGGATGAGGTTTTGGTCTTCATCTGGTGACAAAAGGGAAAGAACTTAAGGCTAAACGAACTATTATGAACGAAAACAAAAAAGACGGAATCTAAATATTTGGAGCAGACATTTTACGTTAAGAATTTGTTTTTTTGTTTGTTTGTTTTTGGGTTTTTTATTTTATTTTTATTTATTTGTTTAATTATTTTATTTATTTATTTTTTTTTTTTTTTTTTTTGTAGTGGGTAACTTTTTACAAAAAAGAATGAAGACCATTTATTTGCCATAAAATATGTCCAGGATGTTGCCCAGTACTGAAATATTTGACTGCAGTAGGTCTACTAGTATTGCCGAGAAGCTGTGGTCGCAATTATACTATATGAAAAAAAAAACAACTTTTTCGCAAAAACTTCCAGGGATTATACTATGCGTGAAGTAAGGTCATACAAGATTATACACAGTAATAATTAAAAAATGGATCTTGTCAAGGTATGCAGTGAAAAGAAAACATTACAGAAAGACGAAAATTCCTATTTTTCCCTAAAGCGTTCAACCCGAGGATAACAAACAAATTGAACCTGGATTTGAACTCGTCTTTCTTATTCTATTTTTTTATATTAATTTTTCTTTAAGCATTTCACCCCAAGCAAGACATGAGTGCTACTGGTTCGCTGGGGGGTTACATAGATTGAAAAAAAAAACTGTGTATAGGGGGAAATGATTTAAGGGTAAAATAGAAACGGTTATCAAGACATCATAGGTTGGCGATTGACGTTGCATTTAAAATTTTTAAGATTGTCGTTATCAGGGAAGCAAGCAAATATACCATTAACTGTACCTCTTACTCTGTAAACCTCTACCTCGAGTGGCTCTTGGGCCTTGTACGGGGATGAACATTGTTGTAAGAAAACGTTACGCAATTTGCTTCCTGCGCAATGAAAAAGTATATAAAACTGATTAAACATAAGCTTATGGATATGGAAAGACGCCAGTAGGTATGTGAACAGATAAAGAATTTAGAGAAAGGTGAACACAGTGTGATAAAATTATGTTTATATCTATGCAGATGAATATTACAAAATTCATATATCTAAGCATATATATATATATATATATATATATATATATATATATATATTTCTGAAGTTTTAATCTCTCCATTGTGCCTCAGCATGAACAGAATATTTGATTAGTTTTATTGTATCGACATCAATTATTACCGACACTAAAAATTAACTTTCTATACTTATGCAGATGCGCCTTTACATACATATAATATTTACACATATACACAGGATATATATATATCTATAGATATAGATATATATATATATACACACACACACACACACACACACACACACACACACACACACACACACACACACACACAAAAACAAACAAAAGCGTATATTATCATAAGTGTATCTATAAAGT